AAAGTCTTGCCCACACAAACACGGAAAATTAAAACTAAAGACAAGGCAAAGTAACTGTGTATCTCAAACTCTTGGATATTCCGCTTCTCCTTCTGATGACGGCAGCGGGAAGAGATATCGCGGCAGATTACGTAAGTACACTGCAAACAGAAACGGGACCGGATAGCGGCACTATACCAACTCGAGCCGGTACACCCCAGACCGCCTAACTATACCGCCAGGTAATCAAAGGGGTAGGAGAAGGGGGAGGGAGTGGAGGAGGGCAAGGGGTAGGAGAGAGGGGAAAAGGGAAGGGGAGAGGGAGGTCGGCGAGGGGGCGAGGGCGTGTATTTGCAATGCGGGCCCCAACAGGACAATGCAAACTAACGGCGGCCCAGGCACACCCACTCGCACAGCTGCTCTCCCCTCCCCCTTTTCTCTCTCTATCTCACTCCATCCTGCCCTCCCTCCCACTCTCTCTCTCTTTCTTTCAGTCCCTCTCTGGAGGAGTGCCACTGTCGCAGCCGAGTTCTTCGTCAACGTTGCGCCCAGCTCCGTGTTTCCCCTGAATTCCGTAGAGCGTACTCTTTAGCAGCCCGCCAGCCCGCCCCCATTCTTGAACGACGCGTGCCTTCGTCTTCACTGGAAACACAAAGGTCGCACCGGCCTTACGTTGTGGAAGATTAGTGTCTTAAAAAAGGCATTGGCGAGTGCGTTTGATGGGGTATATTCAACTGAAAATTTGCCCTTTGCTGTTGCAATCATGCGACTTAGCACAGTTTTTTTTTTAGTGAATATATACTCGAAAAGATGCACGGACACCACGGCAAAAAACTTTGGCGAAAGTAACTGTTTCAACCAAGAAGTTCCGATCCGATGCGATATGCTGGCTGATGTGTTTCGGGGAAGCGTCCTAACACTCAGCCAGCACGTAAGGCGACTTGTGGGTAAAAGTAAGGGGGCAGAGTGGACAGAGGTTGGTTACAACAGCAAAATTATTTTGTTCCGTTTAGTGTTAGTAAGAAGTTGACCCTACACCCATCCACCATAAGGAACGGTAACCTCGCTTACCACAGTTACTTACTAAACCTCCTGCGCAAAAGGAAGGGCAAATCCATATGTGATGAGACAAAAATAAAGACGTTATATAGAGATGAAGAGTAACCGTAGTTTAGGAAGGTGGTTTAACGCCACCTTGACAGTGTGCGCATCGAGGCCCCAGGCCGCGTCTCTGGGCCCCGGACTCGCCGCGGCGACGTATTTCGCTACGTGGGGGGATTTGTTTCATATCGGCGGCGCCACCGCTGTAAGCCCCCCTGCCCCCTCTGCCCCCCCCCCCCCCATCCAGGGGGCGCCACGGGGAGGCGGCACACTGACCCCATGGGAAACGCACGTCGCAGCAACGTCGACAGGACGTAGATGGTCTAGGTCGGTACAACGTAAATCGGAGCGTTGCTGCGGTAGAGATTTTGACCGTGGATTCTACGTAGATGCAACGTGATTTATAAGGGGTCGTTTTCTACGTGGACGCAACGTTGCTGCTATGTCGAGCAGGAGGTATCGCGTAGGAGGTACAATTCGATCTGTGTGGTTGTCTTGCTTAGTCGAAATGAGGGCATTTGTGTCAAAGGAATAGTTCAGTTCAGAGGTGCCACCTGTACCGTACGTGTACACAAGGGCACACTTGCACTTGTTTCAAAAATGTAATGTACTGTGACTGACCTCACTCTTCGGGCGCGCATGTTGTGGGACAGGCTGGTAATTGTCGGGTTGTCGACGCGACGAGAGGACCTACCGCGCGTTATTATCATGCCAAACTACCACTGGCGCCCTCTGCTGACGTTCAGATATCACAGTCGCCAGAGGGCGCGCTTCAGCTAGTGGGCATACGATAGCGCGCGGGTGGTCCCTCGTGTTGCCAATCGTACAGGTATATGCGCGCTATCCGTTCCAAACTGCTGAAGTTACATTCATCTTCAACAATTTTTGCAAATCTGCGCCCGGTTCTGATTTTCCGCGCGCTTCTCTGAGGAGCTCCTGACTATCTCTGTCTGTGCCATTAAAGGAAACTTCACAGCTCCGTGCTGTGACGTAGAGTTTAGGTGGATATTTTGACATCTTAAAATCAGCGTGCCATCAACGTAAATGCTAGGTGATTACCACACTCGGTAAAACCTCGCGCTGTCCACGTAGATGGGAGGTACTCTTTCTAGATAAATAATTCCTCCTACAGTCTAGGTAGATACTACGAAGATTGAGCGTGTCGATGAACCTTCTCTCTGTCAACATAGAATCGACATAGCTAGCAGGTGGATGATGCATTTCCACCTCTTGACCCTTCTGGACGTGGATGCGACGTGGATTCTAGGTGAAATTTCCCATGGGGGATAGCCTTGCTGTGGTCACTCCAGCTCCCCGATGCACTTATATATGACCGTCACGCCCCCAGGGAATCCCAGCGGGGAGGAGCCGCCCCCGCTCACCGGCCCCCGCCCCTTCCTCCTACAGGCCATTATCAACGCCCGGCCGGGGCCCCGGAGCCGCCTGGAGCAGCCTGGAGCAGGAGAACGGCTTCTGATTGGTCGCCCCGGTCGCCCCAACCTCTATAACGTAGAATCAGTTCGGGGGAGGATGGGGGGTGGAAGGTAGAAGATGCTGCCCCCCTCCCCTTCCCCCTCCTCCTCCTCACCCAACATCTCCTCCTTGCTGCGGGCGGCGCGGGGAAGAAATCAGAAGGAAGGGAAGAAGAGGCTGAGTAGAGAGAAGAAAGAGGGGCGGGAGAGGGGATACCAACTCGAGCCGGTACACCCCAGACCGCCT